AGCTGCCGAATCTCAGCTCAGGAGCTGGGGCTGCGGGTGGGACGCGACCAGGCGAAGCAGCCACATCCCTACTGCGTTCCATGCGCCAGCCATACAGGTGCCCAGGGGTAAACTGGGGTATGTTTTAGCGCCCCTCCCCCCCATTGATTGGTGCCCCAGGCACCTGCCTGACTAGCTCATCTCTTACTCCGGCCCTGACCACACAGAGGTGTTGGCTTCAGGGGATGGGATGACAGAGATGGCACACAGAACCAGCTATGACAGGGAGACTTGTAGGGAATCTTTGAAATGAAGTGGAATGGGAGGATGGCAAACAGGGAGTGGGTGGAGTGGAATGAAGGGATGCAAGCAGACACTGGTGTGTGCAATGAACAGCCTTCTGAAGCTATGAAGTTATTAATGGTCTTGTTGTAAGTGGTGCTTTGTTTTAATTTAAACTAGAAGGAAGCTAAATTGTCTTCTATAGGAAAAGCTGGTTTTGATGGATCTAGTTGTCCTGTTTCTGATTTGTGTTGTATGTTAGGAAAGAGATTTATTGTCTATTGAAACAATCTCCTGGATGACCCACTGTCCTGATAATGGTAAATGTAACTCTCTTACACTGATCTTGCACATCCTGCCCAGTAGGAGGTGTGTACGCATCCTACCATGGGGAAGAGTCTGGTTAGGTTTCCTGGAGGGATCCCTTACACACTGTACCAGAGAGTGGGGGAGACGTATGCAATCATGTCATGCAGAATAGACACTCATAGATAGGATTTCCTGAGTGCTAAGTGTGCTGGTGAGCTGGGTTTAGTTCACTCTTCTTGGAGCTACTGTGCCGTCTCAACTTTATGTCCTGCTTACAAAGTAAATCTTCTTTGGTCCAAATGAAAGAAAAGGTGTGCTGCAGTTCATGAAGAATTCAACTAAGCAGCTCTTGAAGCAGTGCTTAGAAGGGAGACCTCTGAAGGAGCTGTGTAGCTGCTCTTTTGGAGCACAGAGCTAGCTAGTGCCAGGTGGGGCCTTTTAGTGCACTGGTATTGAGAGTGAGGTGGAGAATAGAAAAGCAGAAGGGGCTGGGAGTATTGGCCTCTTGTTTTCTGGGTAACAGTGGTTTCTTTTGTCTTGCAGTGTAATTTTTGGCTTTCAGTTACAGGGAGTTAGTGTCACTCAGTAGGTCAGGGAGTTAGCTTGAGGATTCACATAAAAGGTATGCATAGTTTCCTGTTATTCTCGTCCATATTTTCAGATGCATTAAGTAAAGGCTGCAGTAACAAGGGGAGATGTGAGGAGCTGTGAGCTTAGGATCCAGCATGAGTTTTTGCAGCAAGAGTCAGCTCCCTTGAAAGTATCAGTGAAATAGTTTTCATGGGCTGTGTGTGTGTGAGCTACTTCTTTAGGAAAGATATTACTGTTAACAGACCAACTGCGTCTCTTATCTCCCCCTCAGCGAATGTCCTGTGCCTCACAAGAACCACAGAGCACCAGCCTTGTTAAAAAAAATCCAACAAATAAACAGACAGCTATGGCCTGCTTCTTCTCTTCGGTTTGGCACTTGTAGTTGGCTCATGGTTTTGTGGTGTTCAGTTTCAAGCGTGGGGATTTCAACCAGCAGGGGTTTGCTCTTGGGAGGAAGGAAGAGTGACCTATACTTTTCTCATTGGCCGGAACGAAAACAGAAGCATCTGCTGGGGTTTGGGAGTGGTTTATGGGCTGAGCTTAGTGGCAGGGGAGTCCTTGTAATGCCGGAGGGAATTTAGTCGTGTAGCGTGCTGTACTTAACGAGAGAAAAGGAACCGAGCCCGGGGTAATGCACTCTGTCTTTGTTTGCTTGTGTGTCTGTTTCAAATGTGTCTGTAACTCAGTGTTTCTGCCTTTGTTTCTCTGCGTACGAGTCTCCGTGCCGTTGGTGGGTTTGAAGCTGTTAATGTGGATTTGTGTGTCTGCACATGGTATCTGTTTGCTTAGAATCTGTTTACATGTTGTCCATGCGTTTGCCTAAAGGTTTTTCTCCACTGCTGTTTCTGTATTTGTTGCTTTCCGTTTGCTTGTGAGTTTGTGGGTCTCTGTTTGTTGTCTCAATGGGTACTGAATTTTCCCAGATTTATTCAAAAAGAAAAATACAATCGTTTATCAACTAACTGTTGAACCGTTTCAGGCTATTAGAGAGAGCACAAAATAAACTCTACGGGGAAGGGAGACTTTTAAATACCCAGATTACAAGCAGCTGCATATATTAAAAAAACAGCCGCGGGTGTGTAGTTAGAGAAGTTGAGGGAGTGGAAATTGCAGCACGTGTGAAGAAACAAAGCTTGATTAATTGTTTGTGCTTGTATGGGGGGTGAGTGTAACTTTGATAAGATTCTTTCTGCTTTCTACTTGGCAGTGCTGCGTTCCTACGTTCGCATTACCTGCTCCGGCCCAGAATGCTGACGGCGGAGACTAGAGCGGTAACTAAAGGAAGCCGAATAGATGTTGTTTCCAGTTTCCTTTCGTCGCGGACATTTTGTTGTAGAAAAACCTAAAAACTTGAGCGCTCTCTGTCCAAATTAGCAGCCGTTAGTGTTGAGAAGCTGTTAGCTGAGGTTAGCGTGGTGTCTGTGTAAGATTAGCTGTGGCATGGAGCTGTGCTGAGGAGACCATGTGACTGCAGTGTACATTGGAAGAGGAAGCTGTAGAGGTCAATGCAAAGGCATTGTGCCAGAGTCTGGCAACAAGGGAGATTGCTGTATGGCGGAAGATCGCTTTTCAGGCTCCTAACGCTTTCATTAACTGTTTGGTGTTGGACAGGAGCATCCCTGTTAGGTTAACAACAGAAACTGAAGGATGGAATAACTCGTTTGTGATTGGTTTTTGTTGAGGATGGAAACTAACTGATCTTTCCAAACGCTTTGTAGGTTTTATTAACTACTGTTTGTGGATCTTGCATTGAATCAACCTTTCTTGGGAATGGAAATTATTCTGTTCAGAGGAGTTTCAACACAACATGCTATTACAGGAAAAAAAAGTTGAATGTTTCCAGCTATCATTGCATCAGTGTGTTCTGAGTTGTACAGCTCATTTTGAGTGTTTGTGGTTTAATAGGAAATTCAGTTTATATTTTTCCACCTTGTATACAAACAGAAAAACAACCACAAGTTGTAGGTAGAAGATTATTTAAAAAAATCCAAAACGAATACAGGCCTAGGAAGTATAGAGAGGGCCATTTGCAACAGTCCAGAATATCTTACTATTGACTGGCTATCTATCTGAGGAGGACAATAGTGTCTTGGAAAATTTGTTTTAATTTGTCTTGTTTATAATTGTTTTTTGGGGACAGAAAATAATGGAGTCTAAGAATTTGTTTTGCTTTAAAAATTGTGTTCTTCTAATATTTGTCAAGACATTTGAATTGATACATTCCAGGTTATTTTTGTTTTATTAGCAATTGTTCCACATCTGACTTTTTGCAGGCTGGTATAATGAAAGGAAACTTCCTTTATAAGCGTTTTCTGTGTTTTTTAATTTCCATCTGATGTGTAGTTGGCAGCATCCTGGGAAGAAGAATAAAAGGAAAGATTTTAAAAAACTGTATTTGGGAATGAAGGACTCATATTTTGAAATGGATCATATTGGAGTCTAGACAGCTTCTTGGCTAGCTGTGATTTTTTTTTTTTTTTGAAGTATCTGAAATACCCCAACGGTGGAAAAATCTCTATCCCTGCTGCAAAATGCTGCTGAAATTCTAGAGTGGATAAGAGGGAGAGCATTATTACTGTACGAGAAGAGGTTTTAATTATGAGATGAAGGCAGAGGACTTTTTTTAAGCCTACAAATTTACTGCCTTCATGACAGCATTGCGTATCATTCTGTCAACTCTAGCACTGGATGGGGTTGCTAGGCAGCAGGCTCTTATGTATCCAACCTCTCTGATTTGCTATTCTTCTGCAGACACATGGTAAGGTCCTTTTTAGCCTATCATCTAGAGGGACTTTTGCACGCCGTCTGCATACTGCTGAGATTCTCTACCTGAATGTGATGGGGAAAAGGCACTGTTAAATGAAACCTTTTTGATCACTTTCTGATACTCTTTCCACAATCAAAATAAAATAAAATAAAAGCCATGAAAGGGCGACTGGAACAAGGAGAAGAGGTTAGTGGGTTAAGTGGTATGTGTTTTCTGCAATTGCAAAAGGTGCCTGTCGTGAGAGGGTTGGCTATAATTCTGCCATTAGTTACAGATGGTGACTGGAGATTCAGGCAGTAAGCTGAGAGCCGTTGTATACCTTTGCAGCAATGTTGACATTAAGGTGCTTTGGGAAAAAAAAATCTGGAGGGTACAAAATACAGTGATCTGGTACTTTGGAATACTGCAAACTGATACTGTCGGTTACTCTATCTCAGATATGCTTGGAAATTAGAATGAACAGTTAATTTGACAAATGGAAGGTTCCATCATCCTGTCTTCTGCAAAAGTTGCATTGGGAGCAGTTTAATAATTGATGTCCAATGGGATTTATACACAGCTGAGATTTTGCAAAACTTTGTTCTTTGAATCAGTCAATACACAGCTTTTGGCGAAGGTTACGGCTCTTAGCAATGGAGGAGATCACTCCAGAGTAGAGAATAGTGTGGTGATTATTTTTGACCAACTTAAGTTTAGCATTTCCCAAACCTTTTATAACTGAACTTTCTCTCCAGATAACTGAGTAACAAACGGAATTATAGTTATGTTTTTTCCAACAGAAGTCCAGTTGTACTCCCATTTTTGTCCTGACCAGATAACTAAATGAGTTATCTATAGAGCTACAACAACTTCAATGACTGGAGATCTCTACGTATGCAGCTACCACTGCAAATTAGTAAATAAGCAATGCTGTTTTCAGACAGCTCATTGTAACTCTTGATTTTTATATTCTTCCCCATGTGCTTTTCAGGTACTGTTTGATGAGTGTGAAAGGATGCTTCACTGATTTTCATATTGATTTTGGTGGCACTTCAGTGTGGTATCACGTTTTTAGAGGAGGGAAGGTAAGTACACCTGGCAGTGGAACATCTTTATTTTTGGTGCGGGGAGTAGGGTTCTTGTGAGGCCTACTGCTTTTTTAAATTTTTACTTCTGCTTGTAAGTGATCAAACTGTAAATCTTTTGGTTTGGCTGATGCTTTTGGTTTGGCTGATGCTTCTGGGTATTGGAAGGGTCATGTACAGGTTGAACCTCTCTACTCCGGCAACATCTGTGGTCCAGGAGGGCCATGGATGTTGCTGGACCAGAGAGCCTCAGCTACAGCGGTTGCAGTCGGGAAGTGAAGCTGGTCTTGCAGTGGGCAGCCAGTGGTCAGGAGCGGAGCCTAGCCAGTGGGCTGGCAGCTGAGTCCCACCTGCCGGGGGCAGGGATCCCCATGCCTGGCAACCAAATCTGACACCTGGTAGCTGGCTGAGTGCAGGGAACCTTGTGCCCAGCAGATGCCAAACTTTCTTGTTCAGGATCACTCGGGTCCTGAGGATGCTAGACAAAGGAGGTTTTATCCGTAGTTTGTAACTGGCCATTTACCACAGGTAAGTCCATCTGTCCATATCTGCTTACGTTGCCAGAATCTCTCAGCCTGTTCTTATAGTTTTTCAGTACCCTTTCAGAATGAGGGTGCATTAAGGTTGCTAGTGTATAACTGATTAACTATTGAATTTATGAGCTGATGCTTATTGTTTAATGATATCGGTTACATTCAGCTGGCTCCTGTGGAGCAGGCTTTGCTGCTGCAGCAAAGTCTCCTTCCTGGGAGCTGGGTGGCAGGAAGTGGTAGTCCCACTCTTGGGGAGGCTTTGCTAAGGGCTCTAAAGTATAAAGCGCACAGCTAAGCTTTATATTGTAGACCCTGCAGTGTGTGTAACCACTAAGATTTTTAGTGATTACACGGTTACAGGCAGTCCCCGGGTTACGCGGATCCGACTTATGTCGGATCCGTACTTACGAATGGGGCTTTTCTCGCCCCGGAGAACGCGGGCGGCGGGACCGCCCAGACGCGCCGCGGTCCCGCCGCCCCCATCCTCCGGGGTGAGAAAAGCTGCTCCGCGTCTCCCTGGTCTGCTGGGGGAGGCCCCCCAGCAGACCAGGGAGGCACAGAGGAAAGCCGCC